ATCATAGTGGGTGATATTAACTTTCTTGCACCCATCGTAACAATGCCTTTCTTGCTTACCTACGCTTGCATTGACTACTCCTACTTTGCTTTGGCTCAAACTTTTGACATACAAGAGCAACGTGAAGAACGCTTCCGTATACAAGCGTCAAGTCCCTCGTATGAGACGCGTCGCTATGGCTCAACGCAATCACCTGGACAGGATGGCAACGATTTGGATTTACTTTTCCCAGATCGTGTACGCCATAAAAACTTACAACAAACACCACAAAATTCACCACATCATGTGCCTTCAAATATCACATCATCTAATGCTGCTGCTATAGCAGCTGCTGCAGCGGCAGCGGCGACGGCAGCCAATCATGAGACTGAACGCAATCATATCCAACAACAACAGCATCAACTCTACGGCAGCGATACAAATGGTGTTGCTTTTCGTGATGGTTACAACAGCACAAATGCAGCCGAAGCTGGCGCGCCAGAGCAGGCTGCCGAGGATGAGGAGCCCATAGCGCCTATACGTCTGCCCATACACTCGAAGACGAAGAACTGGTATTCGCCGTTCTGCAATCGTTGGGCCTCACTTATGGGGGTACGCGGCGTACATAAGAGAATAAATTAATGAGTATTATTTATGATGTTGTTGCTTTTAGACTTTCCTGAAGTTACTCGTGATGTTGCTGGTCAACTGGTATTACGCGCTCACCTGCTACTTGGTTGTGTTCATTGTATGGTTCTATGTGGGCACAGCCAATCCGGCCGTGAAACCGGGCTTAACAGCGGAATTTAATTTCTTTGCGTGGCTTAAGAGCGTTATATTCCGGTGTTTCGGGTGAGTTAGATTAAGGTTGAATAGTTAGGTTACGGATGAAAAAACAAAAAGCTTGGCTAATTTTGTTAAGCTTAGAAAGTAATTAAAGTAAAAGGGAAGGAGTATACAACACATTTAGATTGCCAAAAAAAAGCAACTTTTATATTCGTGGCTCTCTTTGTCATTTCCAGTCGGACAACCTAACCTTTCACACGGCAACATTTTCCAAACTTTTTGGGAAATTCGCATGCTATTACAACCTTAACATCTTCCTTTTTTTAACCATACATTTTTGTTATTAACTTTGTTTCTCTTTCAGTAAACGCATACACCAGTACGAACAGGTTGTCGTAACGCCTACCTGCCCCGGCGTTGATTTCTCGCCTACACAGCTCAATGAAGAGAATGCAGATTTTTCGCAACGTAGTCGTTATCATCACTCAGCGGTGGTGGAAGGTCATCTTATTGATGATGTTTAAGATGAATTGATAAAAGCAATGCAGCGTACAATAACATTTATAAAAAAAAAATATTTAT